GCCCGTAGGATAAAGGTTAAATAACCTTCGTGCCAGTCAAAGAGTTAAGGTAGTTTAGGACCATTTGCTGATGGAATGCTTTATTGAGTTTGGTGCCATTTGCACTTCGGGATGCTAGAATTTGTCTCCCTGCTCTTGCCCCTTTGGCATGACGCTTAACCCTTTGACGTGGTCATTTAAATTCCGCGGCCGCGGCTCCTGCGGTAATATATTCAGCCGGCCATTTNGTATTTTGAATTGTTGTTTTCCATATAAAATAATTCTTTTGGTATGAAATTAAAGAGGAAATTTCATACATTCGTTGACCCATTTTGAACTTCCTGCAGCAGAAAGTTGAGAAAGTTTTCTACCTCAACAGTTTGTGCGCTTAACCTGTAATGTATGGACTTTTAAATTGCTGGGAGCCCTCTGCAGCCAGAATTTAAATCGCCGTAATTAATTAACATTGCAAACTTTGAGATGAAACTACATATTTTCCGTTCTATGCAACAGAAATATGAACTAAAACAACCTGAAAGACAATAAAATTTTCTACATATACACAGAAGAGCAATTTTTACAAATGAAAATTGACCAATTATTTTGTCATAAAATGCAAAATATAATCTTTATTATGTTATGAAATTCCAGAGGACTTACCTGTAGTTTTTTTTTCTTTCAACTTTGAGACTTGGTGATATTGTAAATATAATCATACTAAATACAACAATATTTTGTTCAGACTGTACACGAGTTTGAACCGCGTCACTTCACATTTTACGATACCTCACACTCTGTCGTGTGTGCCACTTCTCGAAGCAGTCCGCGAGACGCAGCGCAACATCACACTTTTTGCAATAGAAAATGGTGCTCCTGCTTTTCATATTTAGTGAAACACATGACAGTGTCTTTGTTTCCCTTTGGTTGGCCATTGTTGTGAATGTTTCACCTCCAGTCGACTCAGTTGGGCCCCAGATAACCTTGGCCTCCCCCAAGAAACGCCACTGACCATGATATTCACATTGTGCGGTTGAAGGATCATCTTGGAGGAAGGGGGTTTCCAGGAAAACCGAATAAATTATGTCGATTAACAAAGTTAATAGTAATACTTGCAAAATAATGATGCAAAGTAATTATAATACTAGTTGAAAAGAGTGCCATTTTGACACTGATACCGAAAGTCGCAATGGCGAAGATGTCTTTTACTCACAAAGTAATACTGGCTCAGTGGGTTTATACCTCTTCCAAGACAAAATAAAAATGATATACAAAGAAATATATGACAGTCTGACACTGACCTTTTTAGCTGATAAAGAAATATTAGACAATCCGACAATGACTTCCTAATTGATAATTCACGACTGAAAACCAATCCTTGAATGTGTCACGCTTCCTAGAAGGCTATGGAAGCACTCATCTGCAAGCAGGGATGAATATTTCCTCATCAGTTCTCAAAACAAAGCTGGGCTATATTTGGCTGACCAGGTCATAAACAGTCATATCTAGACATAAAGTTTCGAAACCAGTACCTGATAAATGATTTCATTGTTCAGGGCTAAGGAATGAATCACTGACATGACCTTACCTGGGGTTGTTTTATTTTCAAACCCAAGATCAAACTGTCAGCACTCCCAAAGAGAGCATGTGTTCTGCCCACACATAAATATAACATTTGGCCAATTTGCATATATATAACATTCGGCGTTAAAGGTTAATACAATACAAATCTGTCACAGCCTGTGGGAATTCTTATGAACTAAATATGTTAGATTGATACTGTGGGTTGTCCTGCATGTTGATCAAATGAAAAATCGATTCTCTTGAGACATATTCTGATCAGTGCTGCTTCTAGATTGGAATTTGTAACCACGAGAAGACACATGGAGGATCTAAGACATGATGTTGACTCTGAGAAGTGTGTTATGTCTGCTATGTAGCAAACGATAAACTGTTCACTATATGATTAATGCTACTGTAATTATCCTTTTTTTTTTTTACAAATACGCATCATGCAATCTGGTTTTAGCTGCCAAGGCCAGCTGTGAGCAACACAGTGGCGAGCTGTGCTGTGTCATGACCAGTGGAATATACAGTAAAACTTGGTTATAGTAACATCAGTTTCTGCGACACCTTGTCTATTGCGTCAATATTCAATGGTACGAACTAATTCCTCATAAAGCAACTGTTTTTATACCTTGCTTAGTACGACATGCACAAATGCATCAACCTCGTATGTAACATCATTGTCATTCCTCAGTTTCTCTGATATGGACATTGAACGTAATTTAGAAAGTGTGTATCGGGCAAGTAACATGAAACAGATGAAGATAACTGATTACTGTACTTGTATCTAGGTACAGTAAGGCACAACAGTTGATGTAATCTACTGTAATTTGGTGAGTAGTCCTACCTTTAATATACAGTATTAGTGCGGTGTGTATTGTCAGTGAAAAGCGCTGTAATATGTCTTTGATATTACACATTTGGGCAATTCCACGTTAATGTTACGTTAATCTGTACTTAACTACGTATTTCACTAAAAAATGCAACATTTTAACTCGGTTTTTGGTAGATTTTTACGTGACTAACATAAGGCTACTGTGGAAGTGCCCATTTCGGTTACGACATTCGTTTATAACGACACTATTTTTAGGTCCCTTTGTTGACGTTATAACCAAGTTCTACTGTATATTAATTTCAAACTGAATCAGAACAAAGTTTTATCACATTTGGAATATGACACTGAAAGTGGATGTTTGTGCTTTTCTTGGTTCTGTGGTAAATGACAGAATCAAGAAAAGCACAAACGTCCACTGGGAGAATATGCGAAACCATAAAGGACAAAAAGAAAATTTCTGAATGTGATGATATTATGTAGGAATAACACACGGAAAAGAATAGATCACTTGTCGATCAGAATTCATTTAATTGAGGGACTCTTTGTGAAATATGCTAATGCTGTAGAACACAAAGTGCCAGGTTGACATTCGTCAGAAAAACGCCCTGTCTAAGAGAAAGAAATTTTATAAGCAAGTTCTGACCAACTGAAGAAATCAAGACACACTGAAACGGCATGTGTGGCAAAAACTGTACTGGTGTGACATGGGACTCTGTGTGGAATGTTTTCATGACATAACACACCCAGCTGAATTTCTAAGATAATATGATACTATTATTCCTAATTTTTATAGGCTTACTATACCAAAAAATAATTTTAAAGCAGCGTGGATCAATTTGCTGATTCTATATACATTTCTGAACGTAGTGTGAAAATTAGAAAAACAAAACTCCAGTTTTTCCCAATTTATTACACCTTCTGTGAAATGTTGCATTTACCGTTTTAATGAGTGGAATTAAATGTCCTCCGTTGTTGAAGGGCTAAATTGCTGTTTCCACAACACACTTCTGCATTGTACACTAACATTTTTGCTATACATAACGTATTATTGACCCTACTAATTATGAATCATCTAAATTTATTTCCACTTATTGTCTTGCTATATTACTATTCACTCCACTTTATATTTAATCATATATGTACCTATTTTTTTTGTCAAGTTTGTTCTAATGCCCATTTCTGTGTTAATATTCCCAGTCTTATGCTCATCACAGTGTTTGCACAGTGTAAGGCATGACCGGTCCTCACCCACTCAGTGCTGGGATTGTGGGGTTGAATCCCACTCGAGGCATGGATGTCTGTGCATTTATTCTGTGTTTGTGTTGTTCTGTGTATGTAGTTGCCTTGCAACAGGTTGACCCCCTGTCCAAGGAGTCATACCAACTGTGTATAGCAGTGTTTCTCAACTGCCAGGCCGTGGGCTAGTACTGGGCCCTGGCATCAATTATACTGGGTGCTCATCTTATAAAAAAAGGAATTTACCAGGCTACGGTCTGACAAAGGCTGAGAACCACTGGTGTATAGGATTAAGAAACTGAAAAAGCGCCCAAGGTCCGACAAAGGGCTGTAGAACCATAGATAGATAGGTAGATAGATAGATACTCAAATTTATGTCCAAAATCTCATCCCTTCAAATCTTCCTCTCTTCATCTTCAGTGTGTGGCCTCCAGTCCTCCCCTTTCCTACAAATGGAGCAAATCTCCAGTTCTTTGTTTTTCTCTGTTTCTTCAGTCTCCCAGTTCCTATTTTTCACCATACAGTTCTTCTCCTGCCTTCCCCTGTAAGAACTTTTGTGTGTGCCTTTTCGTAGTTGCTCCTTAAGCTATTACACAATGTTACTGAATTCATCTTCCATATTTTGCCTCCCTATATCAACACATATTTCACTTATTCTGATCCATATGGTATCAATATTCCTTGCCTTG